ATCTGAAAGGAGATAGTTCCTTGTTTCATGTTTTATATTTCAAATAAATGATACGTCATTGAATAAATTTTACTTTTCCCCAGTCTGTTCTTGAATGACATTAGAGAAATGACGTCTGTAAAATTACCCAATATAAAGTATTGTTGATGGTGATGCAGTAATCTTTGTGGCTCTTATTGTACAACCTGCTAGTCCTAACCCTAGTCATTATGTATAAAATTAACTTACGTGTGTAAAGAGATCTTAAATTAGTCAAATCTTGTAGAGTATACACCGATATTAAATACCCGCTGTCTTGTCGACATCTTATGTTGTCATCCTCCCATGTTTGTCCCGTTAAAAAATGTTTCAAACAATATTTTTGATCTGGAAATATCTTGTATTCCTTCTCAGTACAATAACTTTCTTCTGCAATATAAAACATTTATTAATTGATCTCGAATAATGTCAAATAAAGTAGTTAACTGATCAACCGTATGGTTACAAGGTAAAATGGCCGGATGTATGGTTACAAAATAAATGACCAGCCGTATGGTCACAGTAAGTAAAAGTCGTCAGGTCACAAATGTACTTGGTCACAGTCATATGATCACAGGGAAGAATGGCAACAGTCGTATGGTCACAATGTAAATGCATGATATTATACTGACTTAATAATATTTATTCAAGATTTACAATAGAAGTATAAATACAAACATAATTATAGAAAATCTATGGTTTCAGAAACAAGTTGGAGTTTAAATAAATTATCAAGTTACTAAGCTATTATACTCTTACCCAAACCACAAGAAAAATGTCAATATAACATACCCTTAAAAATAGTCCACATGGATGAGTTGGTCGTTATCATTCCTGTACCATAAACATAACTTGGTGCTAAACAATAACAATCTTCTCCTTGATAATAAATCTGATCCCAGTTGTAGAGAGATGAACAAGTTGCTGTACAGTAGATTAAACTACAGCTTGGTATCAAACTGTAATAATTAAATGTAACAGGTCCAGTGTAAGGAAATTTCTTCCAGAAACTGTTGATAGTGAAACTCCATGATTTTGAAATTAACAAAATCAAAATATGAAACAAAACTCTTCGACCATCAGACATCTCAATAGATAACAAATGAAAGTAAATTCAAACTACTTATTAATATGAATAACGTTTCTAGGTAGAAGAGAGACTGATTTGAAATATCCAATGATTATCAGACTGTATATGTAATAGGCCTTAAATATTAAATAAAATATAGGGAACCATTTCAACTTGGAATTCTTTGTTCCACATCGATTCTTAGTAATAGAAAGAAGGATGGTTTATTCTTGTTTGGTTAATGTCATCTTCACATTGTCAAGCTTTTGCGAACTTTATCTCATGCTTTGTCTGCAATAGCAACGGTCCTTGTATCATGGAAGTTAGTCAGAGCAGCGATTTGACTGGAGTGTACGCTACCGGATACAACCAATCAGATCCCTCGATGTGTGTAAGCCATAAGATATACTCTTTACAGACTTTATGTCCAGGTCTCTGATTGGCTTTATTCACTGGCGTAAAATCCCATAAAATCGCTGCATTCGGAGATACAAGAAAGCTGGCTATTGCAGTCAAGGTATAAGAAGAATTTCGTAAAAGTTTGATATTGTGAAGATGGGTTAATGCATTCACAACTTTGTGTTCCAGACTGTTTGTCAATAAAAAAAAAGATATCTGAAGTCCTCCGGTTAATCAATAATGTGACCATTTCACAAAGAAATCGTTGCCATGTAACAGAACCAACCGGGCCGTTGAAGTAGTTCTCCATATCCCTGACTTTCTCCCCTTCAGCATTGTCCCTGTTGCGATACAAGTGAGCGGCCAAGTCTTGCATCTCCCCTGAGTTTCTCCACTCTCCAGGTTGTGTTCCAAATCTTCCTTGTCCATATCTGTATTCCGGAGGTCTGGGTACTAGATTCCCATCATGATATGCAGGCAAACACAAATAAAACAGTCCTGTTTGTTGTATTATTGTAAGCAATAGTTCATTAATGTTATGTATTTATGCGCAAATAAGTTGTTGTTATATTAAATAAATATTTACACACATATTCGAGTTGATTTAATTTAAAGGAATTACCTGAACATTTTTCAGTTCGATGTATAAACAGAAAAAATCTGCGTACATACATAAAACACTACGCGGATTTATATAGTGTAAACAAGTTTTTTTCTTTTTACACAATTCGACACGTTTCGAAAAACTCAGGTCATTCCTTAATTGCATAGCAATGCATGGTGATCTTCCATGGCATAGGTACATTTCTGTGATGTCATTATGAGGTCAAAAAGTGAACTCCTATAGGTAATATGATCAAAACGTAAAATAACTAGAGTGGCATGAGGTATTATGTCATCATATAGCGTTTTCTATCCGTCCTTGGAAGTCACGTAATGCCAACTAACATCTGTTACAGGTGAAAATACTACAAAGTAAGTGACGTGACGCGTTATTTATCAGGTTTGGTCAACGGTTAATTTGAAGAACGTTTAAGAGGGCTGTCGTGAGACCCTAACTGAATTGGCTATATTAAAAATAAACGCTAATAACAAAAAACGGAACGAAAGTTCAATTTCACAGAATTAACAGGAGTCAGTATTTTGAGGGGTCAGTACTCTACAA